CAACCTAAGTTTAAGGTCTAAGTCATCTTGTTATCTTTTAACAGTGTAGCCAAATCTGATCCAAGTCTTTGAAAATGAGCTCAGAAAAAATAAACATTCTCCAAAGAACATGAGATGCTAAGCAGTCAAGTTGAAACAGAGACCTTATGTCAATCGATCCAATAATATACTTTAAAATATTCTTCCCCTGCTTCCTGAAACATTCCAATTCCTCTTTTGGGTAAATGTTGATAATGTTCTAACTCATCTTAAAATTCTGTAAAATCAATGATTAAAGTGAAAAGAGAAGCAACAGCAAGCAAGCATCTCACCTCATCTTTGTCGACCTCCTCATCAACTTCATAGACATGAACTGGAAGTTTATCCAACTTGGCTGCTTTGCTTTAAAAATAAGAAAGAATAATTTGTTTAATAATTGCCTAATCAACAGAGTCTGCATTTCTTCCTCCATCAGAGGAACCAGGCTTTAATAAACTCAAAGCTGTCCCTATCAGATAAGAAATAACACAATCTACGCCACTGCTGTCCCAAATAGGTAAGCCAAGAGCACTAGTCATTAAGCTCTAAAAAGCTATGTGGAAAAGCAAGCAGAGCTTGCTGGGAGTTAGGAGGTATACTGAAAATAAGAATGTGGATTGTGTATTAATAAAGACTTAGTAGAGTAGCTTTTAATACAGTTTATCTTTTAAAGAAAATGGAATATGAGGCCACTTTTGAGAATGACAATGGCATTAAGGACAATAACAGCAGTGGCCAGCATTATCAAAGGGTTATTATGTGCTAGGTCCTGTGTTCTGTACTTTACATGTATCATCTCAAACTTTGAGATGGTGGAACTATTAAAAGCACTCAATAGATGAGGAAACTGAGGCTTACAAAGTGGAGAAGTTACCTAGACATTTATAATCCTCTCTTTTTCTCATCATCCATTTGGAAATTCTTACTAATGCAAAAAAGTAATAGAGTGAGTACAAATCAGTCTGTATCTTCCAGGCATGAGAACAGTATGAACAAGACAGTGAAGATGGGCAAATATAGAACTAAGGAGTATACTCCTCTGGAGAAGATACTGCTAGGAGGGAGTGTTCTTGGCTGAGATTTAAAAGGGGGCAATCAGGAAGTTGGCTGAACATTCCTAAGGAGTGGCTGAGCCACACAAATACGAAAAACAAAAAGCTAGGTCCTCCAAGAATAGTACAAAAGATTCAATCAAACTCCTACGCAACAAACAGAAAGGAAAGTGTATAGAAATATATATCACCTGAGTTTCAAGTAAGATTTTTCACTGGTAATGGTTACTTTTAAAACACAATCTGTCTCTATTATTTTCAACTGTCATTATCTACTAAATTTCATTTGGCAACTGTATCATGACTTCAGAATGCACTGTTTCATAAAAGCCTCTTCAGGTAAGAGCTACCTACTCCTGGTCCACTTTAAATACCACTAATCTTTCTAAACATACTTGCCTTTCATGTATTTTTTAAAGAATTACTGCTTTAAAATGGGGTAAAAAATTTATCTGGGAAAACACTTGTTCCTTGATTTATTTTGTTCAAACACAATTATTCAATATAGAATACTCTTTTCAAATCTTTTCCAAAATATTCTTTTAAAGAGAAACACCGTAGCATATTTCAACATACTTATATTTTGTTTTATATTTTTCACTGAAAATTTCACCTATTTATGTTTTAACAATAAAATTCTGAAATAAAATATAATTAAAATAGTTTTATATCTAGTTTTATATTTAATTAAATAAAATAAAAAATATAATTCTGAAATAAAAAAATAAAATTCTGAAATAACATTCTGAAAAGAATCCCAGAACATAATTAAACCATCCTTATGGTTCTTTTACCACCGACTCATGCCATAGTGCTACATTTAAGTTCTAATCAAAGGCTCTATTCATAATAGCTATATGGTATACAGACAAATCATCTAGCAGTATTTTCTACCATTACTCTGATTGCACATGAAGTTATACACCTCCCTGGGCATTTCAAGTACAAAGGCTATTCCCCATGTGGATAACCTCATTTTGTGTGGTCTGACAGTTTACTTACTTTGGAAGCTGTCGAAACTCTCCTGAGTAATCTTCATATTTATAGGTCACAAGATGCCAATCAGAGTTGTAGGTTTTGATGCACTATTAGGGGAGAGGAATTTTTTTTTAAAAAAAAGAAAGAAAGAAAAGAAAGAGGAAAACAGGAAGATGGGTGAGGACTGCTGGAATACATGCCAGGAGGTTTGGGAAGGCACACCCATTCAGCCACCAAAAAAACTTTTCCATTAGCCGGCTAATGCCTGAAGATCCACCACCAGTTACCTGTGAACCACTGAAACATTACCCATTGGAGAGGTATCACTGTACGTTATCATCATTAATGATTTGACAGCAGATTTTATACGGAGACAACTTTGCCTAACCTTGTGACATTTACATAACAATATACTGTTTCACACTTAAAAGTACTTGGTTCTAGTGAATAGAAAGTGTGAACCTTAAGTCACTTTCAGGGTATTTACTGATATTAGAACTAGCTCTGTCAGTTAATACTGTCATATAAATTTGCCTTCATTTTTTTTTTCATTCATGGAGGACAGAATGAGGTTATTATGAGGAAAGATTTCAATTCTAGTTTGTAGTGGCACCATAACAATTTTGTGTGTGTGTACAAAATGTGTATCATATGGAGTACTCAATGGTCAAAGATTCTTTTGGGGACACTAACCTACACAGACTGCATTTAAATTTCCTCACTATGTGATAAAGTTCAGGGACCAACACAGTGTCTTTCATCTATTAGGATCCATGCTGTATTGTACAAAGTCTTAAGATTATAAGACTACATTCACTAGATCTTCAAATACGAATTAGTCAAAATCAATAATAGGTGAAGAGTTTTAGTTAACATCAGCTTAATTCAAATGATAATCTATATAGTTAGCTACTGACTACACATATGTAAGCCTGGGTGTGGAAAAAGAGAATATAAATGAAATCATAGGTAAGTAAATGTTTTTATGTCTTACCTACAGTAATTTATTTTTACTCTGGCTGTAACTAACATCATGAACAACATCTTTATTCTTCTTATTTTACTTCATAGTTTATGCTGCCAACCTTTCTATCCATGTCACAGCCTACATCTAAAGGCCCTCTGAAGCAAACCTCCTTCCACTCACAAACTCATAAAAATAACAACAGCAAAACAGAGAGTGTTATTTTGTGCCAGGCTCCTATATAAGCACCTTGCTTGAAAGGATGCAAAGGGAAGTAGTATGTTTTGAGAAGTGGAATAAATAGCTGAGAAGGACTCAGAGCTTCCGTATGGAAGCTGAGCCATTTTTCAGTTTTTTACTATGAAGATTGCAAACATTTAAAAATACTGTTTTGTTCTTATAAATGTTTTTAAAAATTTCTCAAAGCATTTTTACATTTAGAACAGGTACTCACATTCAAAATTACATTCCAAAACAAGAAATATGATTTCAAAACTATTCAAAGTTTTAGATTTTGCCATTACTGTCCCTAGGTCCACTAACACCTCTAATGCAGGCCTTAGACACTCTCCTATTCTCTTTACCCGGGCACAGTGGTTTGTTTTTTTTGGGTTTTTTGGTACCAGGGATCCAACTTGGGACCTTGCACTTGTGAGGCAGGTGCCAGAACCACTAAGCTAAATCCCTGGCCCCTGGGCACAGTGGTTTTTGATCAAGCACTGCAACTAAATTTGTACCACTGTCTCTTGCAGAACATTAAAATCATCTTAATGAAGTATGGATATACCTGCCCAATTAAAAACTAAGTAAATAATCACAAACTTACATACCATGAATGCATTTATGAGTGGAATATAGGAGAATCGAAATTTTTATATCTTAGGCAAAATGGGGAAGATAACTATACCTAAATAGTTAAAATTGTAAGGAATTGCAAAAAAAAAAAAAAAAAAAGTCAAGCAGGTTAAGTGCCCAGAGATTCACTGAACAAGCCATTGTCAACAGTCTACTTAGGAAGCTGAATTCCAAGGCAGTGGCATAGAATAAGGCAAGCAACCCTCTCTCCTCTATAGAAAGTTCAGGAGATAGTTCTATTAGAAATCCTAGCCAGAAAACAGTACCTCCCAAAAGGCAGAGATAGGACCCACTGATTACTGAGAAATTCATTAATATTTTGAAGTTACATTGAAAGGTTTCAGAATTTTTTTTAAGCCATTAGATCATTCTCTCTGACTAGAGGTTGGAGAGGAAGTGCTGTTTCACTCCACCCAAGTGGAAGAGTCCCAGCGAATTTAGTTACTGGCTCCAGCACCACAGAATGAAGCAGTGATTTTGTAACCTACAGCGATTAATTTAGTGGAAAATTATGCCTCAAAATCATATTTTTAAATCAATTGGGAGAACTGAGTTATTAATAATTTTGTTGCATGCAAGCCAAAAACATTCTACAGAAGGCTGGATAGTAAGTAATTTGGGCTTTGCAACTCTTCAACTGGGTTCTATTGTTGACAGCAGCCATAGGTAATATGTAAACCAATGGGTGTGGTTGTTACAATGAAACTTTACAAAAATGGGTCACAGGCCAGATTTTGCCTATAGTCATAGCTTTATGGCTTTTAAATAAACATTTATGTCTACCTAAGTATATCTGGCAGTATTTGCCTAGAATTAATCTAACTAATATAGTGGTAAAGGAATTTAAGACAGGAAGCTCCTTTTTCTTTTCTTTTTTTTAAATTTTTTGGTACCAGGGATTGAACTCAGGACCTTGCGCTTGCATGGCAGGCGTGGTGCCAATGAGCTCCTTTTTCAGTGGATGAGAGAACACACATCTAAAATTTTAAATACCTAATTTTTCAGAAGTCTCAAGGAAAACTAAATACTGTTATTTAATTGGTCTTTACTTATAAAAGTATAGGTAGTCCAGGATTTTAGCTCAGTGGTGCCGCCACCTGCCTTGCAAGCACAAGGTCCTGAGTTTGATCCCCAGTACCAAAAAAAATAGGATAGTTCAATTGTATTGATGGGAATATTTCTCATCTAAGTATCAACTAGAAAAATTACGCTAAAAGGAGTCCTTCAATAAACAAAATTAAAGCATATACCTAATTAGTTAGACTCACCTAAAAGTAGCTGGAGGGAGAAACAAATACCCAAGTGTGGGGGAGCAACCCAACTCACAATTTCTTTTCTCCATAACGAGATACTATTTGCATGTTCAAACAAAGGTAGTAATAATCATCTTCGATCTCAAAGTCAGGTATTGCTCATTATCCCCTTATTATGAATATTAAACCAGCAAAAATAAACATACAAGTGAAGTAATATAATGCATAAATGTGTACACTGAGACAAAGAATCTATTTATTTTATATCCTATGCTACAACAATGACATACAATCTGTGGAAATCATTTTTTATAGTCAGAAACCAACGCAGTGGGGCTAGGATGTAGCTCAGGGGTACAGCCACTAGGCTAGCACGCTTAAGGCCCTGGGTTCATTCCTCAGGAGAGAGAAAGAATACACTCTGTGGATAGTTCTGTCCATTTCAAACTCTGAAAATGTCATGTATTCTATTTTAACTTCCATCATAAAAATATAATTACCACTTTAACACTTTCTTGAAAGTACTGAAATTTAAAGACAAAGGGAGATTAGAGGAAAATGACTTTGCAATGTAAATTAATGTAGAAAAAAGTCTTACTTCTGTAACAAATAAGCTCTGTGCTCTCTCCTCTGCATTGACAGGAACTGTGGAGCATATATATCGACCTTGCCGCCTCAGGATGCCTGTCTGTGAACAAAGGCACGTGAAAAGACTGAGTTAAGGTAGAAGGCCCGCCCCACAGTAGAGCTAAACACCCTACAGCAGCACGAACACCCACACTGTCCCTTCAGCATGTACCAGTGGTCGGATGCAGCCGCCTCTTTAGGTCCCACACAAAAGATTCTATGTGACATCTTGTTTGTTTGTTTGGAGACAGGGTCTCACTGTATTGTTCAGACTGGCCTTGAACTCACTACATAGCCCAGGCTGGCCTTGAACTTGACGTGATGCTTCTGCCTCAGCCACCCAAGTGCTGGGATCAGGGACATGCATCACCATACTCAGCTCTACTGACATCTTGACACCTTAAAGCCTTCCTTCTGGATTGGGGCCCTGAGGAGCCCTCCTGGCCCTTCCTGCTTCCTGAAGGCAGGGCAGAAGCCTGTTTCATAGTCCCTAACACCAAGTAGTTGAGCTAGTCAAACTGTGCAGTCTTTGATTTACCTTAATTGCTTTTTTTCTATTGTTGTAATATATACATAACAAAAATATATTTCAGTAGCATTAAGTATATTCTCACAGTTGTGCAACCCTTGCCACCACTCATTTCTTTTGGGGGGGGGGGGTACTGGGGATTGAACTCGGGCCGCCCTTGCGCTTTCGAGGCAGGTGGCGGAACCACTGAGCTAAATCCCTGGCCTTACCACTCATTTCTTAATTATCAATTACATCCATTCTTATTCACTGGCACATCCTCAGTGCCTAACAGCAGGGATAACTACACAGGAAAAAAGTCCCCAGGGCTTCCATCTCCTCCTAGAACATTAGAACTGTTCTTGTTTCATGAGGCTTCAATGCTGATTTTAAATAATAAAAAAAACTTTAGGTAGCTACTCTACCCCAATAACCGTGCTTTGGATTTCAGAAGAAAAGTTCTACATATTTTTCTTCCATGGAATATAATCCTTGGGTATTATTATCATAGTGTAAAAACAGCATGTGTGAAAATACTTTGCTAACAGAATCTATCCTGTTGGCTCTTCATGACTATTTGCCAAATTGGGATCTTAGGGCATCTGTCCTGGCTGTTTCCCTTCTTCTTTGGATTGAAGACAGCTGTGGGTCAAATCTGTTATTCTCTACCCCAAGCAGAGAATGTCAACAAGGGCATGTATTTTGTTTATAAGTTAATTTATTTCCTGCATGGAATACCTATATTTATTCTTCTTCTGCACTGTGTCCACTTATTTTTAGATTATTGCTCCATTTTTCTACAGGAAGGGAAGAAAGCAACTCAGTCTTCTACCAAAGTCTCTGCAGGTGAATTATTCATTCTTTTAGCCTCTGAGGAGCTTTCAAGATCCTGGGACTTAGTTTCTCAATGGATATTACAAAGGAATGGTGGGCTTTCTGGCATATCTGTTCTCATGAAATGCCTACATGGTCACACTCATGGAAGAGGGGCATAATCTTTCAAAAAGCAACAGAAAAATACATTGATTATAAACTCAAAATTATTATTATGAATTAGCTATGATATCAACAAAGGGGAACTGTTTATGAAATTCTGTATACTTCAAAGAAGGATACATTCTATTTCCCCACTTACTATATCCTTATCTTGATTTATATGGATCTTCCAAGAGTTTTGAAACTATCATGCTTTCAAAACATTCATGAGATGGCTCATCTCAAGAAATAGAACTATTAGGATCATTTTCAGCCTGTTTCTCACTATAGTACTAGGAAGAAAAAAATATCAAAATTTTCTCAGTGGAATAAGCAGTTCAAGAAGCTTTAATTATATAACATTTTTCCAATCATCCCTCTAAGGTGAGAAAAACAATAGTAAATAGACCTTTTTGATTCGTATGTATCAAAGTGCTCTTATGTTCTCATTTGAAAAAGGAAATTTTAAATCATTAAAAAGAGACTTGATTTTAGCAGATAAGATAGAATAATGTTTCATGTATTTTACTTAGGTTTATAAGCAATCATTACTAATCGATTCCTAATTTTGATTGTAATAAAGGATAATTTTTTGACCAAAAAGCCTGTCCCCTCTCCAGAGATTTTATCCAAATAAACTAGATATTCTTCTTTAGTACATATCTGGATTGAGTGTACATTTGTGCATATTTCTTGAACTACATAATATCAGATCTATTTTAGATAATCTCCAAGGATGGCTGATGTCTTTTCCCTCATAAGCAGACTGCTCCTCACTCCAAAAAGGGGAATCTATTTCCTCTGCCCTTAAGTCTGGGTTGGCTTTGACTAATTTATTAAAGTGAGAAGGGGGCCGAGGATTTAGCTTAGTGGTTTCGCGGCCTGCTGGGCATGTGCAAGGGCCCGAGTTCGATCCCCGGTACCAAAAATAAATAAATAAATAAAGTAAGAAGGGTGTGGCGGTGCATTACCTATAATCCCAGCACTTGGGAGGCTGAGGCAGGAAGATTGCCACAAGTGCAATATACAGAGTCAAAACTAGCGGGAACTACATAGCAAGACCATTCTAAAATATATATATATAAAATTATATATTATTTATGTGAATATATGTAATATATATGAATATATATACTATAATATGGATATATGAAAGGGACATTGTGTCAGTTCCCAACCTAGCCTTTAGGAAAACGCAGCTTATATTTCTTCCTTCTTAGAAGCCAATCACCATATAAAAAGTTCTACTCTCTCGAGACTGCAATGGTTAAAGATGGCACAAACTTGACACACAGAAGGGCCATAACAGAGAAACATGCCCCATCAGCCCCAGCAAGTTCCAGTCATCACCATATGAGTGAAGAGGCCATCCTGATGAGCCAGCCACCACAGACAGAAAGTAAAGCAGAAGAACCACCTAGCCAAGAAGAATGGCCAGAATCCAGAACTGTGAGAAACAGTAAATTACTGTCTTTAGTTAGTAGGCTTTGAGGTGATTTGTTACTCAACAATAGATAAATGAAACAACTTTGTAAGATGAGGACCATCTCCAAATTACAGTACTGAGGAAAAACACTTTGTGACAAAGTATTTCAAATACTACCTACAGTATAAAAATTTAGGACAGACGGGCTGGGGATTTAGCTCAGTGGTTCCACCGCCACCTGCCTCACAAGTGCAAGGACCCGAGTTCGATCCCTGGTACCAAAAAAAAAATTAGGACAGATCACTGAGGAGATATACTTTATGTTACAATCTTATTTTCACAATCACCTTTCTACCCAGTCAGAGTCCTGCAAGAGGTCAAGAAAATAAGAGACAAATGTTAGCTGGATTCTGAGTGTACACCGCAGTGCCCCCCCACTTTTCCCCAAGAGTAGGAAGAATTTATTGAGAGAAAGATACCTTCTGTCTAAGAGAGACAGAAGGGGGACTGGAAGGTGGGCTGCCCTTGCCTTCTCCTTCTGAAAAACATTCTACTGATCATTTGAGGGCTCAATGTAGTATTTCTTCATCCATTCATCCAAACCTTTACTGGCTCTCTACCTTCCACCAGACACTGAACTAGTAGCTGAAGATACAGTGTTTAATACAATGTAGTTGCTGGTCTTAACAAGCATATAGTCTCATAAAAGAGGATGATAGAAAAATCAGTTAGTCAAGTATGTTAAGTGCCACAAAAGGGTAGAGAGAAAAGAGCAGAGCCACAAATGGTACAAGAGATCAGCAGGGGAGTCTAAATTCAACAGTACGGCAATGAGGACATCAGAAAACGTGTACTGAAGGAAAGATGCTCAAGATCAATTGTTAAGAATGAGTATACCGGGGATTTAGCTCAGTGGTTCCAGTGCCTGCCTTGCAAGTGCAAGGTACCAAGTTTGATCCCCGGTACCAAAAAAAAAAAGAAAAAAGAAAGTAGCAAAAAAAGAATGAGTATAAATTATATTAAGAACAAAAGAAAAACTTGGAGACAAGCTTGCCCTTGGAAAATTA